GTACAGTTCCTTTTAAATAGTAATAAAGAAGAAAAATAAAGTGGTAGTGGTTTTTTACAACTCTTGAAAATTATAGTAAAAATGGGCATATCCTTAATTCTTGCTGTATTCAAATGTAAAATATGAGAAAACCAAAAATATAAATATCTTGAAAACAATATTTATTTATTTATGGAACAAATTACTAATTCTCTAAAACATGAATTGTGAATTTGTTGACTGATCTACATGGTTCATCAGTGTCTGAAATAACCATATGGTTAAAATGTATATATTTGACCAGTTTTGCTACTTTAGAGTCAGGAAGTATTGACTTAGTGTTGGCTGAAATCAGAATGAATAAATCTATTTATCTATATGTTTCACTCCTTACCTGACAAGATTAACTTCAGGCTAAAAAGGCTGGGGGGGCGGGGGTATGGGGTAGGAGGGAGAAATACGACTATCCCTCTGTTAAAAGGCTAATAATTAAAGTAAACTATAATGTGGTCAGTGCACTTGTACTATTAGAATCTTGGTAGAATCTAGGCTGAGAAAAAAAAGTGAGTTAAGAAGCAACCACTACTAAGTGCTTTCAGGTACTGCCAACCTGAATCTGTTGTAAACCTGTTGCTGTAAAACCTGAAGATGAAACGCTCTGGAAAAATACACTACCTCACAATCTAGTGGAGAACCCCCCCTCCCCTAATGCTTAAAATACAATGTGGTAAGTGCTAGTATAGGTATATGTGGCTAAGCAGAGGAAAGAGTGACTAACTTTGCCCGAGGGTTAAGGATGGTTTAATAGAGTAAACCTTTGAGGTGGATATAGAGCATAACCTCTCTGGATAATAAAAAAGCCAGAGAGTGGATTTCAAGCAAGCACAAAACTATGAACACAACTGCTGCATAACAAATTACTCACAAACTTAGTGACTTAAAACAATACCCACTTTTTAAAATAATTCTTTAAATTATGGTAAAATGTACATAACATAAAATTTACCATCTTAACCATTTTTAAGTGTATAGTTCAGTAGTGTTAAGTACATTCACATTATTGTACAACTAATCTCCAAAATTCTACTTACCCTGCAAAACTGAAACTATACCCCTTAAACAACTCCTCATTCCCCACTTTCCCTTCCTCCCCCAGCCCCTGGCAACTACGCTTCTACTTTCTGTCTCTATAAATTTGACCACTCTAGGTACTTCATATAAAGGGAATCATACAGTATTTGTCTTTTTGTGACTGCCTTATTTTACTTGGCATAATGTGTTCCAGTTTCATTCATGTTGCAGCATTAAAACACCATCATTTATTATCTCAGTTTCTGTAAATCAGAAGTCCAGCGGGATGCCTAGGTGGCTCAGTCAGTTAAGCATCTGCCTTCAGCTCAGGCCATGATCCAAGGGTCATGGGATCAAGTACCGCATCAGGCTCCCTGCTCAGCAGGGAGTCCACTTCTCCCCTCCCTCTTCCCCTGCTTGCATGCTCTCTCTCTCACTCTTTCTCTCTCAAATAAATAAAATCTTAAAAAAAAAAAAAAAAGACGAATAAGTCCAAGCACAGTACAAATCACAGTACAACTAGATTCTTGCTTAGGGTCTCACTAGGTTAAAACTAAGGTGTCCACCAGGGCTGCAGTTCTCATCTGAAACTTGGGTTTTCTTCCAAGGTCACTAGTTGTTAGCAGAATTCATTTTCTACTGGCTATAAGACTACTGTTCCCATTTTCCTGCTAGTTACGGGCCAGGATGTCTCTCAGCAGCTAGAGGCCACCTGCAATACTTTGCCACATGCCCCACCCCTCCCGCCTATCAGTTTACAACATGGGTGTCTGCTTACTTCCGGGCTAGATCAGGTCTCTCTGACTTCCTTGTCTGCAACCAGTTGCAGAAAACTGTTTTTAGAAGGCTTGTATGATTAGATAAGGGCCATCTAGATAATCTCCCTATCTTAAGGTCTACTGATTTCATATGCAAATCCCTTCAGACCAATACCTAGATTAGTATCTCATTGAATAAACGGGAGGAGTATGCACATTAGGAGCCAGGAATCTTAATGGGACTATTTTAGAATTCTGCCTACCACATATATGTAAGTATGAAAATGCATGGCAGCTGAAGGCACTTCTAATAATACAATGTAACCCAAAAAAAGGTATATATAGGATGGGGGAGTGGAAGAGCAAGGCTGAAAAACAGCCAAGGCTTCTAGGTAATGCAAAGGATTTTAGGCTTTATTTTTCAGAAAATAGGGAATTACTAAAGGTTTTTTAAGCCTTGATATACTATTATGGTCCAACGGGCCCATTTTTCATTTCTGAACATTTCTAACTATTTGTAAGATAGTAAATTTCAAATAATCAATTTCATCACTATTTTTTCTTAGAGGACTACCAAAAGAAAATTTATTTAAAAAACAATGAATCATGGAACACTACATCAAAAACTAATGATGTAATGTATGGTGATTAACATAATAAAATAAAAAAAAAGAAAAATTCTAATAAAGAGAAAAAACTGACATATACTTAGTGATTACTATGACCCTACAAATAAATAGAGCAAAGGTTTCTAAAAAAAGAAAAACTGTATCTTGCAATTACCAAATGGGTTAACTGAACTCTTTTATAATTCTAAGATATATTATGGGATCTTACTGATATTTTTCCTACATCTTGAAACATTCAGCTATTTCATTATCCTGCAAATTATCCCATCACTACCCATTATTACTCATCAATTATTTCTAGTAATGTTAAAAAACAACTAAAATAAGAAAATAATGACAGTATCATGTAGGATGATGCAATAATAAACTGCCATTCTTTCTTCTTACTGTGTTGCTCAAAGTATTGCATCATCTTTTCAGAAAGTATAAAAGAAAATTGAGGATTTGTAGTTGTTTTTAGCTTTCATTGAAGTGTTGAGAACCAAAAATTTTTCATTTTCTGCCCAAAATAGCAAAAAAGGAAATTAACAAAGGAAGATGTTTCATAATTACCAGATGAGAAGATGAATCAAGAGACAGACAGCAGCACCCCAATTCTAATGACAATGATGAAATTGGATGGTGTAAGTAAAACCCCTATGACTCTTCAGATAACAATATCTTAGATAAAAGTTCCTAAATTCAAGAATTAATGTGTGATCAACACATATCCGAGAACAAGAAGGAATCATGGTATTCTCACCAAGTTAATTACTCGGCAGGAAGGACTTCATCACACAATATTTTGTGACAACAACATTGACCATCCCTTCCCATCTCATTGTAGCTGAAAACACATATGACATTATATTTGTACACCAAAATTTACTTGAAACAGAGATTTTGTTATATCTATACTCTTGTTAAAGTCCCTAATAATTTTTAACTATTCCTTTATTGTTCTATAAATTATTCCTACAATGACTTAAAATATATATATAAAACATCAAAGGAGAGCATATCCAGAAAAGTGGCCTATAAAACCAAGAAGCCTCCTTCCCTTGTGTGCAATCTGCAGAAGAAGAAAAAAAAACAGATAAATATATGAAGTTGACCTTGTTCATGTTGTATATAAACTATAATGGACACAGTACATACAGTGAATTGTATTAAATACAGTTATACTAAAGCTCTCTTTGCTCCCACTTTTTTTAAACCAAAAAAATAATAATAATTAAAAAAATTTAAAAGCAATAACTACTTTTCTTGGTATATTGAGGGTTAAACAAGAGAGTAACATGATCAGTGTGGAGAAAAACTGATGAATGAAAGACTGAAGGGACAAAGACCACTTAACAATAATTGAGTTTAGAGATGAGGATCAAACACAGTGACAGTGGAAATATTGTAACATTCAATAAATGAACGAGAAGACAGCAACAAACCGGGAGAAAATATTTGCAAAACACATCTGATAAAGGACTATTATCCAAAACATACAAAGAACTACCAGAATTCAACAATAAGAAAACAACCCAATTAAAAAATGGGCCAAAGACTGGAACGCTCATTTCGCCAAAAGAAAATATACAGATGGCCAATGAGCATATGAAAAGACACGTCACATCTTATGACATCAGGGAACTGCGAATCAAGATCAGATCAGGCACCAGCGTGGTCACATCTGATGAGGGCCCTCTTCCTGGTTCATAACTGGCACCTTTTCTCTACGTCCTCACATGGTGGAAGAGGCAAGGTTTCTCTCAGGTCCTCTTTTATAAACATTAATCCTATTCATAACAATTCTGACCTCATGACTTAAGCATCTCCCAAAGGCCCCACTCCTAAGAGCACCATCTTTAGGGGTTAGGATTTCAACATATGAAATTTTGGAGGACACATTCATACACAGCAGTATGTATATAAACGAAAAGATAGGAGAGCCAAAAGTTATCAGTATTACCATTCAAATATATTACTTATTTATGATACATATATAATTTCCTATGAGAAAAGAAAAGGGAATACCACTTCTCTACATTGGAATTTAGCTTGGGTTTTGATAAAGTATGATTTTACTCTCAGGAATTATATGTGATTTTAATGCTTTGAATATTAGGACTAAAATACACTATATAACTCAATTTTACACAAGAAAATATTATTAAAAATCAGAATGACTTTAAAAGCAAGAAAAATATCTAGCCAAATACATGAAGTAAAAAAGATGAGTAACAAAGGAAGTCTGACTTTAGATTCAGATTAATGAAACATTCAAAAGTATAATTTATGCAAGTGAAGAATGTTTTCCTTCAACTATGAAAAAAATCAAGCTGTCCCCAAGAATAAAAATAACGTACACATTAACAGTCCTTATATAACTAACATTGCTTGAAGACTTTTGATCTCTTATAGTTTCAAGTAAAAGTGATTGAACAATCAATATCTTAATCAATAAATAAGTAGAATTATATATGATGTTTAGAAAACTGTAATTCCTCTTTTGCTTCTGAACTCTGGAAGCTTATCACGGTAATCCCATGTGATTCTTTAAAGGCAAAAGAAACAAAAAATATTGTCTTACCTTGTAAGATGGCAAGAAACACAAAATTCCTTGGCTCACAGTCTGACACACAGATAACAAAAGTTCGCCCACTTCATCCTGGAACTCAAATGTTTCTGTGTGCTGGAAGGTAGCACAGAGGTTCCGACCCTTGGGGCCTGACCCAATGGTGCCCACCCACACCTAGAATATAAATATGTCATATTAGAGTCATGCCTAAACTACACAGGCAAATTAGCATTTAGTTGAGAACTTTAATTATATGTATGTCAAAAGAAGACCAAGCAACAAGTTTAGAGGAAATTTATTTTTAAATTGGTGGTGTTTTTCTATCATCATTAATTAATTATATATAAATCTAATTTATAGAAATTTTACTTTAAGCAGACCAATAGCTTTGCAAAATTAAACATGTAGTAAAATTTTGTGGGATGCGAACAAATGAAATGAGTAAATCAGAAATGATTCCAAACTCTTAGAGATGAAGGCTTATACAATCTGCTGTAGATAAGCCTCTGAGACTCAACTATGACAACAGCTAAGTACATTAAATATGAATATACTTAACAAATTTACAAATTCACTGATGGTCAAAGATCTAGAGTCCTAAAATATCAGACCCACCAAATTTTAGTTATTTGCAATTGCTCTACATTCATACAGACCTAGTTTTACTATACTTAATTTGACTAAGAGAAAGAAAAAACTTTATTAGTCATCTAAAGACAATAAAGACTTCAGATTGTTGAAAAATGTAATAGCCCTATATTTTCAAACGATATATGAGATTGAGGTATATTTTCCAAGATGACATCTGATGGACACCAATTTAACCAACTTTTAACTAAATGATTAACTAGTAATAAGACAAACTGATATTAAGTGTTTCCTGACATGAGGCAATGGAAAGTAACAATATCACCTATATAGTAATGTTACCAAACTGTTTAACCTGAATCTATCAAGAAGAAACAACCATATAAAATCCAGATTATAAGACATTCCTCAAGATAACTGCTGACTCGAATTCTATAAAAATGTCATGAAAGATAAACAAAGACAAAAAAAAGTTTTAAGACTAGAAATATGAAAGTCAAGTGTAACATGTAATACTTGATTGGATCTTGGATCAAGAATAAAAATAAACAGGATAAAGACATTCTATTTCTCCAGTTATTTCCAATTCTGGAAATAACTGGAGAAATATAAATATTGACACTATTGTACCAATATTACATTTCTTGGGTATGATCATGGTATTGTAGTTATGTAGGATTATGTACTTGTTCTTTTTTTAAACGATTATTTATTTAAGAAAGGTGGGGGAGGAGAGGCAGAGAGAGAGGGAAAGAATCCCCAAGGCAAGCTCCACATAGAGCTCCGCACTGGTGTGTGGAAGCCTGCTTGGGATTCTCTCTCTTCCTTTCCCTCTGCTCCTCCCCCCTCCCTCTCTAAAAAAAATAAAAATAAAAATATTTTTTTTATAACAGAAAAACTCAAAAAAGCCAAGAGTTTACTCTTTAAAAAGATTAATAAAAGCAATAAACTCAAACCGACACTGATAAAAAAAACACAAAACCAGAAAATACAAATTGACAATATCAGGTAGGGATAAGAACACGACTACAGAGCTCACAGATGTTAAAAAGATAATAAAACACTTCACAATAAAAAATAAATTTTTAAAGTTGGGGGCAAATATTGTAATAGAATTCAACTGAACAATTAGCATTTTTACTATTATAATCCATTGACATTACAGGTTAAATGGGCTTTTGTGTACTAGACTGAGAATATAGAGTCCATAACAACATTCTTATGAGAAAATATGTTAAATTTATTAATAACTTCCCATATTTATTTGAACCTCTAAAAAAGGCAACTTAAAACTATAGAACATAGAGTGCACTTGTGGTGAGCACCAGGTATTCTATTAAGTCCTGAATCACTAAATTGTACACCTGAAACAAATATTACACTGCCTGTTAACTAAATGGAATTTAAATAAAAACTTTTTAAAAATGTGGAACATATATTTTTCCTTCACTATTGTTTATAGCAATGTCTCTAAACAGGAGCACTCTGGCACTATAGAAAGCACAATTCTTAAGTTATACAGGAGCTTAATATTCAAGGCCCCCACCTACTAAATATCAGTAGTTCCTCCCAAGTAATTGTGAAAACTAAAAATGTCCCTACACATAGACCTTGGTTGAAAACAACAGCTTTATGGGGTGCCTGGGTGGCCCAGTCAGTTGAGCATCTGACTTCAGCTCAGATCATGATCTCAGAGTCCTGGAATCAAGCCCAGCATCAGGCTCTGTGCTCAGCAGCGAGTCAGCTTGTCCCTCTCCCTCTCCCTCTGCCCCTTCCCCCACTCATGCTCTCTCTCAAATAAATAAAATCTTTAAAAAAAAAAAAAAAAAGAAAACAGCTTTATAAAGAACTAGAACTGTGTTAGGTGCACAGGTGATGCTAAGTATGTAGCTAGCCACTTTAAATTACTTCATAAAAAGAAGCAGAAGGTAGAATGACAAATGACAATTCAAATGTTCCTAGGAAATTAAATAACATTTATATGGTATTATTATAAAACATTAAAAACTTAAGTTATAGGACTCATGAGAGTACTTTTATCCAGGTGCCCATGAGAGTACTTTTAATTCATTTCAGATATTCAAACACATGCTGAACCCTTGCTAATTAACTAATGCCCAATATTAATCCAGGTGCACTGGAAGAACGGGGACATAAAAAGAATAACGATATACTACTGTCTGTTGGAAAAGAGAAACACATGAACAAATAATTATGCAATAGGAACTATGGTAAAGACATTAAATTTTTGTTTTGTTTTTAATTCTCATTTTTAAAAACCTAAAACATACTTAAATGAAGAAACTGCAATATAAACTTTGCATCTAAAGTGTATATTTTTACTCAATGACCTGAAGGAATGCTATTTATCAGTATTTCCTTTTGTTGACACTACCAAACAGCTGACAGATTTTTCTTTTATTCTAAAGCTAAAATGCTGAATTTCCTATCAGGATCTGTTAGTATTTCAGGTACCTTCTAATTTTCTTCATATAAAATTATATTGAGGTAAAAAGACTGAGAGCCTTCAAAAAACATACTAACCTGTGAGTTATTAATGACATGATTAGCCTCCAGTTGGATAGTGAATGTAACACCAAGTTCTGATGAAAAGGATTTCATTGGTGATAATGTCCCAGATGTCAAAACAATTGTCCAAACTTTGCCATTAATATCTGAAAAGGCCTAAAAGGAAACAATATTAGATACATCTTTACAAGAGTAAAACATATTTATTTAATTGTTGGTATTGAGCAAGATGACAGAATTTTCATTTACAACATGACAGGCTTACCACAGCTGGATTTAAGCACCAAAAGTTTAGCACATGAACTGCAATTTTCTGTCTTGAACGTTTCTTATTTTTTGCTAGAGCAAAGAATCCATTTTTATCTGAAGTATCAATCTGATTTATCCAAGAATAAGTCTGTTGAATAGCAACTTTATAATCATCAGCAAATCTGGATGAAAATTAAATGTTAATTAAATGGCAAAACTTTATGAAACACATAATGTCCCCGCTACATACAATATAAAAACTGATTAAACTAAAACTAAATCGAGAGTCCTGGTATCTTCCCACTCAAAGATACCATCTTCCCCACCAACACCCCCCCACTGCTAATTAAATTCAGTAATTCTGATAGAAAATGAGCCATTAAATCTTACAATCAACTTCCTCTTACAGAGGTTAGATATTACCTAAATATCCATCCCTTACCATTTCCCATCCCTATGTTCGAACAATATATAAATCATGGCAAAACCAGAATTAAAATCCAGGTCTCCTAATTCCTAGTCTAGAGCTCTTTGCACTCTGTGTTACATTATCAGTCACAAAATAGTAACAGTTTTCCTTAAAGAAGCTAAACAGTGCATTATACTTTTTTATTACATGAGAAAATGGAAAGAATTTTTACTGAAAGTTTTAAAAGTTTAGAGAACTAATTATAAATTTTAAGTTCCTTTAAAATATGGGTTTCAGTCTTCATTAACTTTTAATGAAGGTATTGATCTCTGTGATCCCATCCAACTTATAATTTCTTTCAATAAGAGGCTATGCACACACACATAAGAAAAAGGCTATGCACACTTCAGCTTAAAGAGAATAAAATATGGTAGTCTCCACCATGTCCTCATAATAATATTGACTGTTAATTTCACCCCTAGAGAGATCAGATCTCAAAGTTCAAGTCAGGGACCCTACAATCCTTGGAGAGAATTTTATAAAAGTACTGAGAGCTATAAACTATAAAACAGTTAGAGGAAAACATAGGGGAAAATCTTAATGATATCAGATTTGGCCATATTTCTTGTATATACCAAAAGCACAAGCAACAAAAGAAAAAATAAACTGGACTTCATCAAAATTAAAAAACTTTTATGCATCCAAGGACACTATCAGAGAGTGAGAAGACAACCCACAGAATGGGATATATGTGTAAAACATATATCTGATATAGGATTAATATGCAGAATATATAGGTAACTTTTACAACTCAACAACAACAAAAAACAACCCAATTCAAAAATGGGCATAGGACGTGAATAGACATTACTCCAATGAAGACATGCAAATGGACAATAAGAACATGAAAAGATGCTCAACATCACTAGCCATTAGTGGAGGATGGAGTAAATAAAAACTATAAGCAAATACCACTTTATACCCATTAGGATGGCTATTATCCCAAAAGTGAGAAACAACAAGTACTGGCAAGGATGTCGAGCAACTAGAAATGTTGTGCATAACTATGGGAATTTAAAATGGGAAAATAGTATGTTGATTCCTCAAAAAGTTAAATACAGAATTACCATATGACCCTGAAATTCCACACTCCAGGTATTTACATGGAGGAATTGAAAGCAGGGACTCAAACAGATATTTGTGTTTTTGTTTTGTTTTTTTTAAAGGATTTTATTTATTTGACAGAGACAGAGACAGCGAGAGCAGGAACACAAGCAGTGGGAGTGGGAGAGGGAGAGCAGGCTTCCCGCCAAGGAGGGAGCCTGATGCAGGGCTCGATCCCAGGACCCTGGGATCATGACCTGAGCCGAAGGCAGATGCTTAATGACTGAGCCACCCAGGCGCCCCTCAAACAGATACTTGTATATCAGTGTACACTGTAGCATTATTCACAATAGACAAAAGGTGAAAATAATTCAAATGTCCACCAACATAACAAAGGATAAACAAACTATCGTATATACATACAATGGAATCTGATAATATTCACCCATAAAACAGAATGGCATTCTGATATATGTTACAACATGGATGAACCTTGAAAACATTATACTAAGTTAAATAAGCCAGATGCAAAATAACAAATATTATATGATTCCACTTTATAGGAGATACCTAAAAGGGTCAAATCCATGGAGATGAAAGAAAAGAGGTTACCAGAGGTTGTGAGAAGAGGGAAATGGGAACTATTGTTTCATGGGTATAGAGCTCCTGAAAAAGTTCTGGGAATGGATAGTAGTGATGTGAATATACTTAATGCTACTAAATGTACAAAATGGTTAAAAGAGTAAATTTTATGTTATGTATGTATGTTTTACCATAAAAAAATTGGAACCAGATAGTACTATAATTTAATAAGGGATTGAGTGACGGGAGTTAACTGTTTCTCATTTTCCACGTTTCACTAAATAGAGGCTTTATGCAATAAGAGACTTTCTGACACTGGAAGAAACATATCTAAAACTGTCCTTAAAACCTAAATGTTTAAGTTCAGTCATATACAATTCAATGTATAATTATAATGTATAATACGTTGTATAAATTATACAATATAAATAATAAATTTTTACAAATTTAATACTGCCTCAACTAATAAAATGTATTTAAAATATATCTACTTTATTTCAATACTCATTTTCATTAATAAAGACTATTTCAATTGATCTAAGTCTGTATCAACAAGTAAGAACAATATTTATACCACTTCTTTACAATGAACCTAGGTACTCACACAACTTAAACATGCTAGCACCCAATAAAATTAATATTTTTAAGAGGGAAAAGACAAATCATATACATTTACTAACCTGCTATTTTGCCGAAAAAGATAGTCAAACACCATAAAAAGTCCTTTGAGCATTATTTGAGTTGAAGCACTAATAATCGGTACTACTCTTGCCTCCTCTTTACCATGCATTGGTAAGACTTTTTCTTCTTTTTGAAGAACAGCAGAAAAATGTCCCTATAAGAAATTACCATTATTAAGTACATTGCAGGAAATGGGAAGAAGAGGAAAACAAACTCCTTAAAATTATAAAACCCAAATGAAATATACACTGAAATTTTAGGCAAACACTATTAATATACAAGTGCTAACTATGTTTTAAATTCCCACATAGTCCCTAGCACCCTACACAAAAGTACATCTTTAAGTCTCTTAAACCACCAAACATACATTTTTCTTACCCATTCTCACAATACAGTTACATCATAATTTTTACTAAATCAATATTTATTTTTAACAAAATTGTAATTATATATACCTTGTTATAGCTAACCCATATATAGTATACTATACTTCCTTTCTTTTGTAACATTTACTTTTTATTTACTTTTTCCTAGTGTTTATGCTTAAATCAACCTTTTTAATAAATTACCACTTGTTAAAAATGATAGCTAGATAGACAAATTCCCATATATTCCCAAATTCTCTTCAGAATCAAAGACACTTTAGCAGTAAGTTATACATTTAGGAGGTTCATTACTTCTTCAGGCAATCAGCGTATCATTTAGTGCCCTTCAAAAGTAATGAACTAGGCACGCCTGGCTGGCTCCTCAGTTGGTACAGCCTGCAACCTTTGATCTCAAGGTTGTGAGTTCAAGCCCCATGTTGGGCATGGAGCTTACTTTTAAAAAAACAAACAAAAAACAGTAAAAAGGACTAAATAAAAATGCAACAAATGGTTTTTCCAAAGAGCTTACAAGGGTTGATATGCCACCTAAATGCCTGAATTACTTCCAGGTAGTATTCCAATGATGAGAATAATATGACTGTATGACAAGCAAAAAATTTTAAATGACTCAAGGAAACAATACATGCTAAATACAAAATGTATACTAACTGGCTCATTTGTTTTTGTGTGGCTCATAAGTTTTAATAAATATTCTGAAGTCAGATAGCAGTGACAGTTGCATAATTCTGTGACTATACTAAAAACTACTGAATTGTATACTTTAAGAGGGTAAATTTTATGGCATGTGATTATTTCAATCAAGCTGTTAATAAAAAAATAAAGAATTTTAAAACAACAGACATTACTAAATGATGCAAGACTAGTAATATAGTCTCTTTTAAGTAGCAATAAGACCAGGATAGCTGTTTCACTGCCTGTGATAACCAATGCACTGGAAATTTAAGCTAACAAAGAAATAAATAGAATGTGATGGAGTTGGAAAGAAAGAAAATAGTCATTACTTATAAACAGTATAATTACACAGAAAATTTAAGAATCCATAGACAAAGTTATAAGATAGTTCAGCAAAGTGGTTGGTTACAAGATAAATAAAAATCCACTACCGTTTTTATACAGCAATAACAACTAGAAAATGCAATTTTTTAAAGGTACCATTTGAAAAAGAAACAGAAACTTTAACTTACTTAGGAATAAATCTATCCAAAACACCTAAGACTTTTAAAAATAAAATCATAAAATTTTATTAACAGATATAGGATATAATAAATGAAGAACTTTATACATCTTGCTTGTGAATGGGAAAACTCCCGTATTATAAATACATCAATTCTTCCTAAATTCAGTGAAATTCCAACCAAAATTCCAACAAAATTTTTCATGGAAATTTACAAGCTAATTCTAAAATTCAGCCAAGATCATCCCAAAGGAAAAGAACAAAGTGAGGAGATATGCACTACCATATATCAGCATTTTTCTAATGCTAGAGTAATTAAAAAATATGAGTTTAGGTCACAGAACAAAGTCCAGAAATTCAAAAATAAATGAAAATCAGGTATGTGGCAGAAGTGTCATTACAAATCAGAAAGAAATGAACTATTTAGTAAATGATGCTGAGAAAATGATCCATGCAGGAAATAAAGTGGATTCCCAACCTCACAATGTAAACAAAAATGAATCTTCAGCTGATTTTATTAAGAAAAAATAACACTTTTAGAAAATGTAGCACAAGATAAGGAAAGACTGCTTAAACTCAAATACAATTCATAAAAGAAAAAACACTAATAACTTTGAATGCACTAAAATAAACTTTCAGAAAAATACTCCATAAATAAACCACAAAACACAAGAATATATATGCAATGCAATAAGCAACAAAGAATTAGTATTTAGAATACATAAAGGAAAGAGCGAAATATACAAAGATATATTTTCAAGGATGTTCATAGCAGAATTGTTTCTTATTCTGGGAAAGCTGGCAACAACCTACATTTCAAATGCCAGATTAATCAAGTAATTTAGAATATGTGCACTCACAAAAATGCTACACTGCAATTAAAAATCATGTCTTGAAAGGGGCATCTGGGTGGCTCAGTCAGTTAAGGCTCCAATTCTTGGTTTTGGCTCAGGTTGTGATCTCAGGGTCGTGATTTGGAAGTCCTGCATGGGCTCCACGCTCAGTGCAGAATCTGCTTAAGATTCTTTCTCCCTCTGCCCTCTCCCCCGCCAGCCCCCATTCTAATAAATAAATATTTAAAAGAATAAAAATCATGTGAAAGAATCCATTAAAATAGTACTTGTAGGGCACCGGGGTGGTTTAGTCATTTAAGCATCCCACTCTTGATCTCAGGGTCCTGTGATCAAGCCCCTGACAGGCTCCATGATCAGTGGGGAGTCTGCTTGAAATTCTCTCCCTTTCCCTCTGCCCTTCCCCACCGCTTACGCATGTGCTCTCTCTCAAATAAATAAATCTTAAAAAAAAAAGTACTCATAATATAACATTAAATGAAAAGAGGCTGCAAAGAAATATGTATCATATCAGAAATCTATGTCAAGTAAATATATGCATAAAATAAGATAGGTGGATATAAATCCAAAAGTTAATAACGATCATCTTTAAGTTTATGAGTTTTTTCCTTTGTGTCTTTCGTATTTTCTAAGTTTTTTCCTTTGACATGTATTTATTTGTACATTTTTATTAAATTATAATATATATAATGTACTAAAGTATACAGCTCACCTTTCAAATGTGAAGTTTATGCAAAAAATCATGGAAAGATGTCATAATACGGACAATACTTACAATACTATATTGCATTTTAAAAAATGCAGGGCAAAAATTATAAGTATAATCTGATTAAAATACATTTTTAATATTCATATGCCCAGAATGCTAGCAGTGATCATGGTAGTCATAGTTCCTATCTGTTTTGGTTCAAAAACCTCTTTAAGTCCATATGAGAAAAATTACAAAACTCTGATAAAAGCAATCAAAGATCCAAACAAATGGAGAGATACTCTCTGTTCATAGATAGGAAGATTCAATATTGTCCAGTTGTTAGTTCTTCCTACTTTGATCTATAGATTTAATGCCATCTCAATCAAAATTCCAGAAAGTTACTTTGTGGATATTGACAAACTGAGTCTAAAGTTAATTTGGAAAGAAACAAACCAGAATAATCAATACAATACAGAAGAAAGAGAACTGATACTACCCGACTTCAAGACTTACTATAAATCTATAGTAATCAAGATAGTGTGGTATTAATAAAGGAACAGGAAAATCAATCAATGGAAGGGCGCCTGGGTGGCTCAGTTGGTTAAGCGACTGCCTTCGGCTCAGGTCATGATCCTGGAGTCCCGGGATCGAGTCCCGCATTGGGCTCCCTGCTCAGCAGGGAGTCTGCTTCTCCCTCTGACCCTCTTCCCTCTCATGCTCTCTCTCATTCTCTCTCTCTCAAATAAATAAAATCTTTAAATTAAAAAAAAAATCAATCAATGGAAAAGAACAAAGAGCCTAAAAATGGATCCACAAGGATATAGTCAACTATCTTTAACAAAGGAGCAAAGACAATCCAATGGAGAAGGATGGTTTTTTCAACAAATGGTGATAGAATAATTGGACATCTACATGCAAAGAAATGAATCTGGATACAGACCTTCTATCTTTCACAAAAATTAACTAAAAATGTAAAATGAAAACTCTAACACTTTTAGAAGAAAAGACAGAAGAAAATCTAAGTGACTTCAGGTTTGGTGGTGAGTTTTTAGATACAACACCTAAAGCATGGTCCATCAAAAAAAAAAATTGGTAAGCTGAACTTTGTCAAAACTAAAAACTTATGTTCCATAAAAGACACTATTAACAGAATGAAAAGAAAAGCCACAGACTGGAAGAATATATCTGCAAACACGTATCTGATGAAGGACTTGTATACCAAATATACAGAGAACACTTAAAACTCAACAACAGGAAGACAAAGAACCCAATTGAAGAGTAGGCAAAAGATCTGAAGAGACATCTCACAAATAAGATATACAGATGGCAAAAGAGCATGTGAAAAGATGTTCCACATCAAATGTCATTAGGGAATTGTAAATTAAAACAATAAGATACTACTACATATCTATTAGAATGGCTGGTATTCAAAACCCTGACAATTCCAAATATTGGCAAGGATGGATAATAACAGAAACCCTCATTCACTGATGATGGGAATGTAAAACAGCACAGCCACTTTGGAAGACAGCACTTTCTTGCACAGCTAAAAACAGTCTTACCATACAATATAGTAATTGTACTAAGTATTTACCCAAATAAGAAGAAAGCACCACACAAAAATATGCACACAAATGTTTATAACAAATTTATTCAGAATTGCCCAAACTTGGAAGCCACCAGTATGTCCTACAGTAGGTGAAAGGATAAAAAAATGGTGTGCATACATACAATGAATATTGTTTAGCAGTAAAAAGAAACAAGCCATCAAGCCATAAAAAGACATGAGGGAAGCTTAGTATGATTCCAACTAAATGGTATTTTGGAAAAGGCAAAATTATGGAGTCAGGAAAAAAAAAAAAAATCACTGGTTGCCAGAGGTTCAGCAGAGGAAATGAAGTATGGTAAAGGGATGAATTAGTTAAGTGTAGCACAGATTTTTAAGGCAGTGAAAATATTCTGTATGACACTGTAATGGTAAATACATGACTTTGTTTCTATCAAAACTCACAGAATTGTACAAAATAGAGAGTGAACCTTAATGTAAACTAT